CTTAAAGTGCATTTTTTAAAGTGATAGTGGGAAATAGTGAGTAAATTGGGCATTACGCATAACCCCCGACCCATAACAAGCTGCTGACAGTGGATACGAGGTGTGTATAGTGGGAGACATAAGTCATATTGAGCTGTCAGTCAGTACAGTCTCCTTCTCTGGACGTGGTGAGTGCTGAGCTGTTCTGGGTGGAGACTGGAACATGTCAATAACGAAGCAACACGTTTCCCTTTAAAACCGATCGAAGCAGCAGTTTAGCAAATACCTCATCAACACATGATTAGTCTGAAAGTGCAGTGTGTACATTTTTCTATCACAATGTTCCTGTTATTAATGTCACTGTTTTTCTTTGGGTGGAGTTGAATGCCTTATAAATCACAGCTCTGCCTCTGGGTAATCCTGCCCTTAGAACTGGACAAAGCCTGTACACTTATTAACTCTTGTTTTATAATCCTACACTTAAAGGTACACTATGTAACTTTATGGTTGGAGGTCCATCACCATCTTGTTTCTATGGATATGTCATTGCTTTGCTTCAAATGTTCCACAGTTTGACATTAAACAGATCTACCTTGCATTTATTCAATTATAGGTGTGTTATTGCTCAAAAATAGCAAGATAACAGGCATTCTGATTCTCCACAGACTTGACCTGTAATTTGGTAGCCTGGTTTGGTCTCCATGATAAAAAGGTTTAATGCCAGACTGAAACATTTCAGACAAAGCAATATCATAATACATGAGGGATTTCAATCTGATGGCCAACAATACTATTTATAGGATAAGGTACAATACATGTGACTAGCCAGACTGCTGTTGCTACTTTTGCTGCCTGAGCACTTACAGAATATGTGTATAATGGCACACAGACTAGAGCTTTTTTTTCTCAGAAGCTTTTTTAGCTATTGTGTGTTATCTTGGTAACAAAATGTGAAGACACATCAGGTTATTTTTGGTTCTTGTGTATTCTTGTTCAAACAAATTGTTGAAAGTCCAAATAACTTTTATTTCTCATAATGCCATATACATTCTTTTTAAAACTGGCAACCTTAAAAAGAATCTGAAATGGAATGTTTGAACATGTAGTGGGGTTTAAGTGTACTTCATTTGTGAGTCTGATGAAATCCATGTTTAACTGTCGAGCTGAACTCTCTTTATCTGGGCATTTCTCTGCCAGTTTTTTTACAGTCTGATTATGCAACATGTTCCTTGGCTCCTTGCACAAGTTGTAATAGTTTTACTTGGGCATTCTTGTACATCAGAAAAGTTGTTGTTCTCACTACACATTGTTTTCTGTGAGTATAACTAGACAGGAGCTTATAAGACCTCGCCCTTGTCTATAAATGACCATCACGTCTAAAATGCTCAAAGCTGGAGAGATCACCTTTGTGGTTTTTCAGAACAAATTCTATAGAAGTGTGAGTAATTCGTGCGCATGCGCCCTCTCTCCGCTGTGGCTCCATTGTGGCCCGGTGTCTCTCTGCCTCTCTCCCGGAGCCAGGCGGAGCTGCTGCTGCTCAGCGGAGGTTCAAGATGGACGCCAAACAGGGTTAGTCTAGCTATAATCTTTTGTTCACCATCATCACCCTCTTTACATGGCACATTTGCATTCCGCTACTTTGTCTGAATACTTGGTGAAGTATTTGCATGAGTGTCTGTGCTGGGCGGGGAGGCCCGGAGCAGCAGCGGGCCGCACGGAGGTCACGGCGGACAGTTTGACGTTTAGCCCCGCTGCTCAGATGGACTCGGGGGTGACCGCTTGTGTGTGCAGCCTGTAGGGCTACACATCCCCCCCATAAACCATGATAGTGCGGGAGGATTAAGTAGCGAATTAAAATATAGCTGACAGTGAAATGGGATCGGCTACAAGAGCTAGCAGTGATTTGGGTCTATTTTTAGCCGGGTTTCGCGATGCTAACACGCCTGCTACCATATGTAGCCTGGCGGCCACATTTGGCCCGTGGTCCAGCCCTCCATCGCAGCGGTCTGTACATGCAGACAAAGGCTCTGTCACACACACAGCTGCTCTGCTGCTGACGAGCTGCTAACATGTACTTAGCATCATGCTACTGTCACATAATGGAGCGCGAACAGTCAACGCCCACATTAAACCATTGTCCTGTCCCAGAGCGGCTGGACTAGTCTGTCTGTTTAATGCCTGTTTAACCACCAACACATCTGATATATCAGGTGGGCATCTCGTTTGAGATCAGCTCTCTGTGCACTTTATTTACTGGACAAGAGCCTGTCTTACCAGTGCTAATGGAGGATGCTTTTAATGCTGCAGCTGCCATCATTTAAAGCCAGTACTGTGCATAGACAGATTTAACCATTTGAATTTACACATTTTAACTCTCTTGATGGGTTGATGATTATAATGCTTTGTCTTACTGACAATTTGTCTCCATGTGCATTTTAAAATGCATTTCTGTGATAAAGGAGCTGTCCAGTTAACAGGTGAATAGGTAAATTGTGCTTTGCATAGTGTGAATAAACTCCTTATGTAACGGGCTGACTGGCCTGGTCTCACTGACTGTACAAGAGCAGGTTTCCAATGGCGCGTGAGATTGTAGGAGACCCCAGGACTTCTAATATTAACCACTGACCTGCCTGGAATTCTCTGGTGAAACCGAAGTATGGTCCGTGTGGGACCTCCAGCTGTCTGCCACCCTCTGCCTCCTTCACTTTCCCCTGAGGCGCTCACTGTCCCTGGGCATGTGAGGACCCACCTGAGGCTCTGGTGTTTCATGTGGGCACCATTGTGTTGCCAGCGCTGGGTAATGTCATCAGATTTTTATAAATGACCCAGATCTGCTGCTATCCAGGCCAAGCAGGGGACAGGACTCATATTTAGTTTCTACTCTGTCAGAACATACAGGGGCTGTAAGTGTCATTTGAGGCAGATCTCTCAGGCACAGTACGTAATCGCACTGTTGGGAACACTGCGGCTCCTCCCATTCACTTTGTCTCTGGGCGTTGCAATTAACCTTGATTTTTGCCTCAGAATAATAGGCCTAATCGTGTGTGAATCCCTGAGTGAATGAAACGTGTAAAGTCCTTTAAATGGCACATTCAGTTAAAAATAAAACGGTCACTATTTCAGGCTGCACCACAGGAACAGTGCAGGGCCTTGGTGGACACAGTTTCTTATCTAGAGGCACTATGATCATCATGGTCTTTTGTCATTTCTTTACAGAATAGGTTATGTTCACGTTCTTGAATTTGATGACATAATTTCAGATTAAAGTTCAGAACTGTAAATTGTGTATTTCTTGAAAAAATAGTAAATCTCCCATAAATATTGAACCTTATTTGTTCAGGATTGGCTCTACAAACATATTAATCTTATAGCTTAAAGTCCTTTCAACTGACAACAATCAGTCCTGTCTGTGGGGTTGAATAGTGGTGCCACTTTCTGAAGCTAGTGTGAAAAATGCATTTCCCTTTTGTTTCTCTGTACTGACAGAGAAGAAGTTGAACTTTGTGCCAATTTTTCTTTCTTTTAACCATAAACCGGGTCAACAAATCTGCAATATGATAGTTAAACAGTTAATTCCACTGTAGGATTCTGACCTGCCCTCCAGCTCAGTTTAAACTATAGGATTCTACAATGTGCTGATGTCACGTAAACGCAGCCTATGTAGACTTGTATGCAGTTTATTTTATCTGCACAGCACTCACCAGCTCACTGTTAGTGTCACTACTCCCTGTCTGATTTTATCTATGTGGTTTTTGTGACAAGTCACTAGAGAATTTAAAGACCAGGCAGTGGACAGTGAGTTTTGGGGAACGTCACTGACAGTAATCTACATATAAAACAATTGAGTAGTCTTTACTTATTTGTAATTGGTTGTCTATTACAGGTTTTGTGTTTTTTTTTATTTTTTTTTTTTTATTTGTTTGAGCAACATGGGCAAGGTACATTACAAACACAAGTATTTGTGCATGTACATTGTACATATGATTGGACCATCTCTGCAGCTCAAAAGGAGTATGCTGAAGTTTAAAAAATGTATCTTGTCCTACCCCGATTCATGCTTTCAATAAAAGTTGGCATTTGTTTAAGACACAGTGAGCAAGCTAGTGTGCTGCACAGAGCATTTTGGTTGAATCTTATTACACATTATTATACATTGAGTTTGATACTGGTCTATCCAGACCCGGCAGGGTAGATTTGCAGATGTAATGATTGTTCAGTGACTTGTCCTCTGTCCTCTGTGGGTTTAGAAGAAAACTATGATGACCTCACAGTGATGCCATCATGAGTGGGTCTGCTGGGTGCCGGCTCAGATGATGTCGTCTGGACAGAGCTGAGTCACGGTGGTGCTCTGACCTCTGGGCTGATCTCACCCAGCTATCAGGAAGTCAGCTACAAGAAATGTATACATTTTCTTTGGTATATTGATAGTTTGTGGTGACGTTGCGCTGGGGGCTACTGCAGACATCTATGGAGGAGTGTTTAGCAGTTACCATGGTGACGCAATGTACGCATTAGCAAACGCAGTCTTATGAGTTTTAGTGAGAATGACTAATTGGAAAAAACTGTTGGCTAATCTTATCCAGCTTGTGACTGTAATGTTGTTTGTGTACAGTTAAACAACAAGTCCCTCTAAATCATCTCTGTACCACTGGTTCCAACAAAGTCAGCTCTTTATGGTCAGATTGTGTGAAATAACAGCTCAGATTAAAGTCTTGGTGGGGTTGGTGGGTGGTACTCTACCTTAAATCAACCTCAAAATCACAAAATAATCATGATTTCTGATTTCAACATGACATTTATAATCATTTTGTACCAGTCAAAAGTTTAGACACACCTTTTACACATTTTTACTACTTTTCTACATTTTAAATACATACAGAAGACATGAAATATATGAAGATATATGGAATTATGTAGCAAAGAAAAAAGTGGGTGTGTTCAAACTTTTGACTGGTAGTGTATATTTTTAAAGCCCCCCTTATTCCCTTACGTCTAATCTGTGCCATCTCTGCTCTCCTCAGTGGTGGATCTCCTCTATTGGCGTGATGTTAAGAGCACGGGGGCAGTGTTTGGGGCCATCCTGCTCCTGCTGCTCTCCCTCACCATGTGCAGCATCGTCAGCGTGTGCTCCTACATCGGCCTGGCTCTCCTCTCCGTCACCATCTGCTTCAGGATATACAAGGGCATCCTGCAGGCCATCCAGAAGTCCGATGAGGGACACCCATTCAAGTGAGTCACAACACATTGGAATACTCAGACAAGCTCCCAAAGCAAATAAGAGCGGAAGTAGGGGCCCATATTATGCTATTTTCTCATCTATGTTATGTTTCCTGATCAAAAACATACCCAGAGTTTTGTTTTTTCCATTCACACGTTTAGCACGCAAACCCTGCATATTTAGGCTGAGTTCTTCTCTCAAACGGAAACCACCCTGCTCCACCTTGCGATGTCGTGTGGTAATACAGGAAGTGTTCCACTGTGTTTTTAAACTACATACATTTTCACTGGAATTATTTGGATGATTTAAACCAAAAAAAACTGGAATTGCCTGTCTCTGCTGAACAAAAGGCAGCTGTTAACTTGAAACCTACAGCTTCATGACATCACAAGTTAGAACAGAGCATTTTGAGCTTTAGAGGTGTAGCTTTAGAGACTAATAATAAACATGCGTGAATGAAACAAAACACAACTCTTGAGTGTATGTCTTTGATGAGCTAACAGCATTATAACATGGTTTAAAGGTCACAATAATCCATTTTGTGTAATATAGGACCTTTAAAAGCTAAATTACTTAACTTTTCTCTTTCAAATTAATAGTTTACCTCCTGAAAGTGTATCACAACAATCTGTCCCAAACTGCACTCACAAAACTACAACTGCATAGGAATCCATGCAAAAAACTATGTAGAAAATACTAGTGTGAATACCAGTGATGTTCCTATAGCGCTCCCCAAACCCTTTAGAACAAGTTAGACAAATATATATCCCTTTTCTTGTCCCGGCTTTATTGGTACCACAAGGCTAGAGCTATACAGGATATTAAATAGAAAATCTCTGCCGAGTCTTGTAGCCATGACAACGCAGTGTTTCAGAAATCTCAGAAAAACAAACAGACCATGGATGGAAAGCCCACACTTCAGGAAGCTCACAGTGGCTGCAGTTACATGTGCACTCTAAGTCTGATTTCTTGAGTTTATAAGATTATTAAAATGACATACGAAGGACAGTCATCTTTTTCTTTCCTATCATGGTTTCTCTCATCACTCACATGAGATTTTTTATCAGTTTGCATGTAATTGAAGTCATTTTTAAGGTCCAGAAATCAGATAATCAGATTTATGTGTACATGTGAACATAACCACATAAGGGCTGCATCTGGCCAGGAATTTGTTTTATTATGAGTAATTATTTGGAGTGAGTATTACATGTCAAATAAGCCTTCATTTTTGGGAAACAAGAGTATTCTCGATAGTTTTACTACTTGATATGTGAAAAGAATGAATTGGAAAAGCCTATTCTGAACACCTTTGCTGTTGATTCTGTCGCTGGCTTTAGCTTTAGTACAAACCCTGCTAATGACCTTTAATCACTCATTAACAGGGCTTATCATAATCTGTACAAACACATTTCTGTAGCCTTTGCCACACACTGTAAAAGGTGAAGGAATCGTTTGAGTTTTGAGATTTAAAACGTGTGATGAAACTTTAAATGACATTGTTTGCATTGCGCTCCTCCAGAGCTAAGTGCTGTCCTGTTGTCTTGTTGTAGGCAGTACCTCGACCATGAGGTGGCGCTATCTGAAGACATGGTGCACAAATACAGTGACATGGCCCTGAGCAAAATCAACAAGACCATCGCAGACCTGAGGCGCCTGTTCCTGGTGGAGGACCTGGTCGACTCCATCAAGGTGAGACCACAGCAGACAGAAGATGTTATAGGAGCACAGGGTATTAAAGCAACTGTATGAAATTTTTACTGTCTTAAAAACGTGAAAAACAGAACTACAGTGGTCCCTCGTTTATTGCGGGGGTTACGTTCTAAAAATAACCCACGATAGTTGAAATCCGCGAAGTAGTCATCTTTATATTTTACAATTATTATATCTGTTTTAAGGCTGTAAAACTCCTTACCACACACTTTATACACTTTTCTCAGACAGGACAGTTACAACCCTTTTTGCATCCTTCTTTAAACTTATTGCTGCTGTCGTCCCTTTGCTATTTTCTTCCTTCTTTATGTAATGAACTGAAGCTTAATTTATTTCGTAATGGAGCCCTACAGTGCAGAGTCCTGCACGGGTCCATTTTCGGAGACCGGCACCAGCGCAGCCCCACACCTTCCCATTAACCTGAAATTATATCAAACTTTTGTGGGTTTTGTTGGGGAGAAAACTTACAAACATACAGCACTTCAGAATCACACTGCTAGAGATCCATCATTTATGTAAATTAGGCAAACTGATCGCATTCTGTACTGTACAGGAGACACGGCATGGAGGAGATTGCATCCTAATTGGCTGTAGACCACTGTCAATCAAAGGGAACACATTGTGCATTCATACACTTAAAAAAAAAAAAGCATGCAAAATTGCAATTTAAAAAATCCATGAGACTGTGAAAGCTGAACCGCAATATAGCGAGGGACGACTGTAGTTCATTTCAAACAGTGTGCGGAGGTCCAAGTGTATTCCTCACTTATCTTTTATGTAAAGATTTTATTCATGCTATGGCAAAAAACACCTTATAATTAGACTCAGACAGCACATAGAGGCCAAAGTGAAGTTTTACTGTCAAATGTACCTATCTGTATTACGGAAAAACTACTACATTACTTTATTTCCTAAATTATATCAGTTACAATTCCTTTTAATTTTGTAATCATCATCAGTGAGGTGGTTTGATCAATTTTTCCTCTGCTGAACTTACAAAGACTCTCCCTTCCTCTCTCAAATTAGCCCCTAAATATTTGTAAAATTTTCAGGATATTATTCGGCGCGTGCTTCCTGTTGATGACGGCGGGGCATCTGTTCTAATTCAACAGACCTCGGGAATGTGTTACAGGAATGTGTGGTCAAAAGTCACTGATTAAAGATTAGCCACTAGATTCTCTGTGCAACACGAGCCACACCATTAAGGAAAATATATAATTGCGATTTTGAGATGCACTGTAATTGAACAGAATCCTATAATTAAAACATAAATCTATAATCAAATTTTAAACTCGTCTAGAAGAATTGTGAACACCTAGAATCTGAATTTTTTTTTTAAGTTTTTTTTTTTCTTTCTAGTTTTTATATATTTTTAACCCTGAATTAACTCAAGATCAATACAGAATCAGAGCAGGCAACACGAGTGACAGCTTTGTGCACAAAAATATATAACTCTATCAGTTATTTCTATTGTAGTGCAGTGTTTTATTTAGATTATGCATCATTTCAATGCACACTCCTACTCAGGTTGATCCATCTCTTAATCTTGGTCATTTCTCTGTGTGATTAGTTTGTATTAAATGAGTTCCCACATTCGCTTCCATCATAGAAATAAACAGAAAAAGAGCTTTTTTTTTTTCTTTTTTTTTTTTTGACAGAATGATAGAAATATGAACTGACAGACTAATAATACAAGAATCATGTTTCAGAACATGTTTGCACAGATCTAATCACGGAGTTTGCAGCAGTTTTTATCCCGAATAAGGTGGGAGATTTTCTTGTTTGTGGAGGAAAGTCTGGCACATCAAAAATACATTTTGCTGTTCAAATTTCGATTTGATCGCGATTAATCTTGCAGCCCTAACAACACAAGGTTTCTAAAATACTTCTACATAAACCGTTAGAATCCGATGAGTCCTCCTTGCCTTATAGACAGTGAATAAGAGATGTCTCACAAGAATAAAGCTGTAGTGTTAATCACAGCGTCTCCCTGTGTGGACACTGAGCCCTGCAGCTGTCCTCAGACTGTCGTCACCCTCCCTGACCCCTCCCTCAGCCCCTTTCACCCCTACCTCACCCCTCCCTCACACACAGCCACTAAAATACCACACTTTACATGCCCTTAGAGGGTAACTTTGTCCATTTACTGCTGCTGCTAGTGTTGTCACCATAATAAAATTTCTGATACAAAGGAATAAAATGTTCAATCCATATTCCGATTCCAATGATAACAAAAAAACACTCTCTCCTTAGACAACAGAATTAGATTTTCAACATTAAATGGTAGTACTTTCTTTTCTTTTCTATTCCCATGTGGTGTTATATCTGTAATCCCTCAGTGGTTCAGGTTGGTTCCAGAGTGTCCATGGGTGTATACTACTCTATGTGCTCTTATATTTGTTCTGATACAGCTCAACATCATTCTAAAACTAGTTACAAAAGATTAATTTCTTTTCTGTAAATTCTTTAGCGTCAGTGAGTATGTTTTCAATACTACTGTCGTTTTAGTATTGATTAATATCAGATTTTTGATACCTTTTACAAACCTATGTACAACCGATTTACAACTCTGTCTGACCTGTAAAACTATTGAACTCTTACCTAATTTAATCTTAATCTAAATCTCCTGCCGTAATGTCCTCCTCCCTCTCGAGTTTTCCACACCCTCACTCTCACCACCAGTGGTTAAAGCGGTCGGCCGTGTAGGATTTGGCTCGCTCCAGGCTGAAACTGTTTTCTAATGTGCCTATAGTTGAACATGACATAACAGTCCAACAGTCAACAGAAAAGGAAGTGCGCTGAGGCTCAACTCTGACATACAAACTCTGACATAGAAACTCTGCCAAGATTTAACTGCTCCAAAACTCCACCCTCAGGATCTGTTCAGCTAGTTTATCTGTTCTGAAGGCTTAATCATCCAGGGGAAAAAAAAAAAAAAAAAGAAAATTCAGATCATTTAGTTATTATTTGATCACTGGCACTGTGGAAATCATTTGACTAGTTTCATTTAAAGGACATGTCATGCAAACTAGAGCTTTTATCCATGTTACAATGATTTCCCTTCATCATTTACCCACCCCTAGTTGTATTGAGTATTTCATGGATGTTTGCAGTTTTTATTTTCCTGCAGTTAAAGCAAGGGTCCCCAACTACAGAGCTTTTCTTTTTTTATTGTCTAACTTCATACGTGTGTCCTAGAGGGGTTTATTTTGCTATTTTGTCAGTAAATAAATTCCTATTCCTAATTTGGAACTCGGCTCCAATTTTGCCCCTTTAACTTCAGTGAGCTTCATCCGAGTGGAGCCGAACGCTGTGGGTGACATGGGTACAATCTGTGAATGTGAATTATAATGGATGTGTCACGGGCTTATACTTTTGCATTAGTAGTAACTTCATGTTTTCTCTGTTGCAGTTTGCAGTTTTGATGTGGATCCTGACCTACGTTGGAGCCTTGTTCAACGGGCTCACCCTGGTCATCCTCGGTAACACTGCTCTCCTTATAACACTATTACACTGTTAAAAATACTATTACACTGTTACAACATTATTACACTGTTACCATTACACTATTTTAACACTGTTACACTGCTACTGTTATAACACTCTTACACTAATTTATTACACTGTTACAACACTATTACACTGTACTCTATTCCCACTGTTACAACACTATTACACTGTTGCTATTACCACTGTTATGACCTTATTTCACTGTACTCTATTACACTGTTACTGTTAGAACACTAGTACACTGCTACAGTTACACTGCCAGAACACTATTACACTGTACTCTATTACACTGTTAATATTACCACCATTACCACTGTTATAACATTTTTACATTGTTAATATTACTGCTGTTAAAGATCCTGTCTGTGAACATTTCTTTTTGTTTTCTAGCCGTGGTTGCAGCGTTCAGTTGCCCGATCATCTACGAGAAGCACCAGGTAAGATCACATTCTGAATTCCCCTGTGTGTACAGCTGCATTGTGTCGTGTGTCTGCTGTTATAGTAAATGTGCTTCGTGTTGTTTCAGGCTCAAATTGACCATTACTTGGCATTGGTGAACAACCAGATTAAGGACGTTGTTGGAAAGTAAGTTGGACTACTCTTGTATGGTCTTCAATTTGCCTCTGTTGGAATTGCTTTTTAAAAATCTTCACAGTTTCTTTTCATTATAATTTGTTGGCTCTTTTTTCTTTCTTTTTTTTACCTGAATTTGGGTCTCTTTTTTTTGTTTGTTTGTTTTTTTTAGTGTATAATTTCTCTATTTGACAGTTTCTGATTCAAGTTATAATGTTGTTTTCTCATCACAAACAGACCTGGAGTTGTGTTTTGTTTCATTCATACATGTTTAACACATAGACCCTGCATATTTAGGCAGTTTTTCTCTCAAACAGAAAACACTCTGTTCCACTTTGTGATGTCATGTGGTCATACAGACCAGACTGCCTTCACTAGAATCATTTGGATAATTTCAGCCCCAGAATTGCATATTTGTACTGAACAAAATGAGCTGTTCTCTTAAACTACTGCTTCATGACATCACAAGGTGGAAGACAGCTTGAGCTCTGGAAATGTAGACAGACTAATGATAAACTCAAACTCAAACATGTGTAAATAAAACACAACTCCATTTCTGTTTTTGAGGAAGCAACATTATAATCTTAACTCTAAGAAGAATGAGTTTTGTATAATCTTGGACCTTTAACCTGTATTTGTTTTCTTGTTTAGGATCCAAGCGAAGGTTCCTGGAATGAAGCGTAAATCTGAATGAAGTGGCGGCAGGTTGGCGGTTTGGAGGACGTCCTGAGCGCGCGTGGCGGAGGAGGGGGAGGGGGGAGGAGGGGTGTAAATGAAGGAAGCCGAGGAGAAGAGGGGGACTGGCGCAGACGCAGCCCTTCTAACTTTATTTGTCAATTTAATAATAAACACTTTTTCCAGGTGAATTCCTTTTTTCTTTTGTGTTTTCTGAAGAAGTGAAGCCGAGGTTCACGACACCAAACCCCCCCGTCATAGTGTAATAGTTTATTTTTATTTTTATTTGCGATTTAACCTGTCAAGCCCTGTGCTTTTGACTGACCTCCCTGCGCACCTGTCAGCCCCGAGCCTCTTCTTTGTCGTGGGGTTCGGTGGAGGTGTGGAGGGTCGCTGGAGCTGCCTTGTCTTTAGTTCTGGTGGTGTGCTTTTACCTGTCGTGTCCCTCAGGCTTCAGCGTGTCCTGGGTCAGCGGGCGGGGCCTCTGCGCAATGTGGGCGTGGCCTCTGCGCGATATGGGTGGGGCTTCCGTGTGAAGAGCGACGCCGTACACCAGGTCTGTGACTCCAGGCGGGGGGAGGGGCAAGGGGGAGGGGGAGGGGTCGTACTACCGTTTAATTAATAAACTTTCATTGCTTCTGAGTAACTTTAGCTAGAGACACCTAGAAAATCTTTGGCAGATAATGAAACATAAATTGCATCGAGTTTTTTCCATGTCATAGCAGCTGGAACACGTTTACATTCACCCATGTCATAAAAGGTTAGAAAAAGCTGAAAAAAAAGCAGTGGGCGTTCATACTGTCTGTGAAGCTGATATCTTCATCAAGTTGCAATTCAATGTGACTTTGAGAATCTTCAAGCGTTTGTTTGTTATGCAAGTATAATTGTGAATGAACTTCATACTTCAATTGTGACTCTAAACGCTCCCCGCGGAGCCGTGTTTGTGGAATGCATTGTGAGATGTAAACAATTATCAATAAAGCTTCTAGACGAAGAGCGCCGCCTCCTCATTCTTTTCTGTGGCTGTTATATTTTCCCTGTAAGAACAATGGGTGGTTCTCTTAAGTAAAAGTACAGATAACGGGTGAAAAAGTAAAGTCAAGTAAAAGTATCACATGAAAAGAATCGACAGAAGTAAAAGTATTAAAGTACAAGGTTAAAAATGTGCCTAAAGTGTTGGAGTAGAGGTCTTATAAAGCTTTGCCTTTAGTGATTTTGTCAGATTTTTACTGAATTTTGTTCAACAGAAACAACTGAATCAATATTTTTTTTCCTAGCTGTTCTTTTTTTTGCTTCCTCAAACTACAGATGTATTAAAAAATAAAAGCCCTCAGGTTTTTCAGCAGGTCTCACACAATAAAAGTATTTTATTTTGACTTTTCAGTCTAGTTACAGTACAGTACTGTAACTGTTGTCAAATGTAGTGAAGTAAAAGTAAAACATATTCACTGTAAAATGTCCTTAAGTATAAATTTGAGGCAGCTGTAGTTTACTACTTTTACTTCGTTACGTACCACCACTGGTAAGAACATAGTGTGCATTTTAAAGGCTAGTGGAAAATATTTGTCCCACATGCTGACCAATAAACCTGATGCCACGGAGCACATGCTGTTCTTTGTGATGGTGTCGTTATCTTCATTTTGGTGGCATGTGGTGTTGAAGCCAGACATTTAAATATAATAATTTGAGTGTCCAACAATTGCTTTATAAATCAAACTCTTTACAGTTCATTATTCATTTTGTCCACACCTGCTGACGGCTGCTGCGCTGGGACAGACTGAGGGAGGTGAGGCTGCATTCATCACAAGCTGTCGTCAAGTTGTTGCCACTGTCTGAACAGAAGTCACAAATTAGGAACTTGTTTTGGCGTTATGGTGCAACATACAGCAGTGAAGAATGAAAAACTATGACAAAAGAGAAAGGCATGCATTACAATAAAGTAAATAAAAATAGACACTCTGTTCCACCTTGTGATGTCATGTGGGAATGCAGGAAGTGCTCCAGTGTGTTTTTAAATCCTATACACCTTCACTAGAATCATTTGGATGATTTCAGCCCTGGAATTGTCGATCTCCACGGAACAAAAGGTAAAATGATCTGTTGACTTGCAAGTTGTGACTTTGATTCGAGTCACTATTTTTAAAAGACTTGAGACTTGACTTGATAAAATGGACTAAGACTTGGACTTGAGGGTCAATGACTTTGCACTTGACTCGGACTTGAGCACTGTGACTTGAGAAGACTTGATGCTTCTTCTAAAAAATATATGTTTCTAGAAAATACTTTTTACACTTGATACATGCGGCGCTTAGTTTTACAAGAACAAACTGGAACATGTCCCTCACACTTTTCCATTTGTTACTTTGGATGAAACTGAAGTACTGTGATATAGTGACCCACAGGTTGGCTGGTGTGATTCCAGCTCCCACAGGTGAATGCTGCTGTTGTGTCCTTGGGCAAGACACTTAACCCACCTTGTCCACAGTGTCTGCGTACACTGGTGTGTGAATGGGTGAGTGGTTCCTTGTTGTAAAGTGCCTTGAAGGTGGAAAAGTGGTATAGAAAAATGTGACCATTTTCCATCAAATGTCGTACAATACAGTAAAATAGAACATCATCCTTCTGTTTTAGTGCAGACAAAATAACTTATTAAGCATCTTAATTCTTTCTATTCTGACAAATGATTCACACTAAGATCTCAAGACATTAAAAAAGGAAAAATAAGCATTTCTACAACTCTTATATTAATGCTCATATATAAATATACCATGACTGTGCAATGTTTAAAAGTCATAAATTGCACAAATCTAAGATGAAATGATTTGAAGCTCAAAGCAGATGACCTGGACTTAACCTGGACTTGACACGGACTTATGTTGAGTAAAAAAACAGTTGGACTCAAGTCGAGACTTGACTTGGACTTGACACGGACTTATGTTAAGTGAAAAACACGTGGACTCGAGTTGAGACTTGACTTGGACTTGACATGGACTTATGTTAAGTAAAAAACACTTGGATTTAAGTCGAGACTTGACTTGGACTTGCTTGTATTTGATTTGGGACTTGACAAGGACTTGAGGTCAAAGACAGAAAATTAATAAAGATAATTAAGATAAATAAGATGAATTAATAAAGGATTACTCAAACATGTGTGAATGAAACAAAACCTAACTTCAGGTGTGTTTTTGAGAAGATAAAAGCCTTATAACACGGCTTAAAGAGTGTGTGCAATATAAAACCTTTATATGTTACAAACAAAAAAAGAGACGACAAGTTTAAAGTTCCATATCCGTTTATATGTTTCACACACACATTTGTGAAGACAGTCATTCTTTATAAAAAATCATCCACAAACAAGTTTTGGTTGAAAAATAAATTCATGCATCATTTATATCCCATGTACAGAATAATACAAGTCACATGATCACTGCCGGAGAAGACTGTTCGTGAGCAGCATGTTTTCTAGTTCAACATTACATTATATATTTATTTATTTATTCATTTATTTCTTTATTTAATCATATTCTTGGCTTATTGTTTACTCTTTTATCTGCAGCCATCACACAAACACAGCACAGTGAGACCTGACTTTCACTAAACACACACTTAGTAGAATCTTCTGTGATAAATAATTTCTTTGTCATTTTCATAACTCTTAAAGGTGCACTGTGTAACTTTTCTGGTGGAGGGTCTGTCGAAAAAAAGCATTTGACGGATCCTCCACCAGAAAAGTTGCGCAGTGCACCTGTGACTACCCCCTCTCCTTGCTGTTGTAGAATAAAAGTAGAGTGGATTCATATTTATATACGACTCAAAACAGCTCACTAAAATAGTTCTACATCTATATTCTCGCACAGTCAAAAGTGTCTCTGTAAAATAAATAGAATCTTTTTATAGTGCAGTTGTAACTAAACGAGATGCAGCCGTTTTAAAGGCAATTAGGAAGAACTCACATGTTTGAATATTCTGTGGCATTATTGGAGACTTGAACGGTGCCTAGAGGGTTAAACTGGTGATCAAATATTAAACAGCCAACTAGGAATAAAAATCTCTTGTCTGTTGTTTTCATATTAGTCAGTGTTGATACTTTGCAGCTTTTAGAATTAACATTCTCTGGGGGTGAAGCAGACTGGAGGCAGTGCTCTGACTGAAGCTGTTACTCAAATTAGACTTTAATCTTGAGTAAATTTTAACACAATCTGACTTTAAAGTGGGACTAAACGCCTAAACTCCGCCCACAACCACATTTCAAATAAAGCCGGTAAACTGGGCAGTACCTAGAGATTAAAGGGCAGAGTGAGGGGGGAAGAGAGGCGTATCTGGAGGTTTTAAGGATTTTCGTGCAATGTGGCAGTCACGTGATGTAACGTAGAGCCCTGCCCGCGGGACCAGATGCAAAACAGTGCGGTGCGAGACACATTTTGAAAGCTCACTGCAGGTGCGGGCGGGAGCAGGACTGCACAATGTGGGAGCAGGCGGGGGGGATAACGACTGATAATTGACTTTTTAATTTGTAACGAAGGCTGAGCGAGGGATCGGGGTTTTGCTTTGATGGCGTTCCACATACAAAATGTTTGCTGCAAACTCAGGATGATTTCTTAGGCAGCCAAAGGTTTCCTTTTTTGTCCTTCCTGTATAAATACTGCCCATCACTTTTCACTATTTTTCAATTCCATTGGGAAGGGAAACAGTTTGAACAAAGTACTTGAAATTGTAGTAGCCAATGGAGGGAGCATATACTTTGCCTGCTTTTGACTAGAAAGCTGCAAATTTACCCAGAAAGACAAGGAACTGTAGATAAAACTATTAAAACATGTATAGAGTTAAGTAGTAACGACTTAGAAATCCAAGTTTTTCAAATCCAAAAGCGTCCATTTTGTCTACTTTTGTATATCAACTTCTTAACTTCTCTGGTTTCTTTAAAAGACAAGAACCTAACAGTTTTTCAGTTAGTCACCCACCCTTTTTTTGTTGAAAATCTTACATCTAAATGGCCCTGAATGGTTGCAAGCTTCTGAAAATCCCCCTCCCCCAGTGTGACATCATTGCAAAGTATCAATACTGACCAAT